TGAAAGGGCCATTGGTTTGTTGGCCCATTTGCAGTTCCTGGTGCTCTGTTTGCCTGGTTTTGTTTTCGTTTTTAATTCCTTTCTTCTGATTTTTAAAATCAAAATTATAGTTTCATTTCTTTTCAGTGTAACTGAAAACCACTGGTAGGAGGCTGTTTCAGTTTTCAGTTTGTATTTTTTTTTAAGGGAATTTCTATTTAAAATAATTAGATCATTTAATGGGCACACTATGTTTTTCCCTGGACAACAGCTGCAGTGCAGAGACAGCTCTTACGTTAAAACTGCTTGATAATTCAGAAATGGAAATGAAATTGTGAAATGTGAATCCTTTTTTTCCAGGAAATATTTGAGCTGGAATATATGAAGGAGGTACATATATATGTAATACTAGAAGCAATATGATGATTGTTATATATAGCCCTGAAGACATACACAAGTGATTATATATTACTTTTGTTGCTATAATTTGAAGTAAGGGGGAAATATATTTGGTTTTCTTTATATCATTGAATTCTTTTTAAAATGTATTTATTTCATCAGTGGGAATCAGATGAAAGAGAGTGAGTATAAAAAAGAGCTGGATTCAGAGCAGCTCTGCATTCCTTAGGTTTCAAGGGTACTTACAGCTCTTGAGTGAAATTATTTGGTGAAATTGGGTCTGGACTGAAATAGCATTTGTTATCCCCTTGTTCATTTGTTATGTGTAATACCACTTCTGGAAATTAAAGGCAAGGTGCTGAAGGGACAGACAAGAAGAAAAAAATATAATTAAACAATTTTAAATTGCCCATCCACCATGCATCCATATGCATATCTATGTCTTAGTAAATAAAAAGGGATAGAGATATATGCTTGCTCTTTATATCATCTAGAAACATTTATTATAGTTCCTGTCAATAATCTTTCCCACTTCCAAAATCTGACAAGTTTGGCAATAGGAAGAAAATGGAGGAAATGTAGATGAAAGGCTTTCTATCATTTTGAAAATTGCTTTATAAAAATTGTGGTATCCCTTCATAGTCTAAAGCAAGTGAAGTTTGATAATAGCACAATTCTAATTTTTGCTCTTACTTTCAATATCCTAACTTTTTCCAGTTTAAATCTTATAGTTTTTGGAAAATATGTGATGCTTTTGTAAGGAAAAGAAATTCTCTAATGCCTTTCTTTACCTTCATTTATCTGTGTTTGTTTCATGTATCTTGAAGAATCAGGTGTTGATCATTCTGGAAGTCTTGTGGCATGCTCCAATTTGGAAGGATGGAGGGACTTTTTGGGGGGGGCAATTTAGGGGGAAGAAGGAAACATTTTTAAAATTGGCTTATACCAGTCTCCTTATTCTGCAATTCTCAGTTTTGTTGTGTTTGGGGATAAATAGCAATAAAATGTCACCTTACCAGATTGTACCAGTATTGTCCTACACATTGGAATTTTCCTTTATTTTTGGCTTTTAAAATCAGAAACTTTTCTTGGGTTGCCGTACTTCTTTTTTTAGCTTCTGTGCCTCTTACCACACCACTGATATGATCTCTTTCACTGCAGTATAGCCACTGCCATGGGCGCTTTCAGTGAAGAAGGCTGGAAGGTTAGGATCCGGAGGAAGCATAACAAAAAAGGGAGAAAAAAAAACCGTTCATTTGGCCAAATCTGGCTCCTAATATATTTAACCACTTCCAGAATTAGAAAGCCTTTCTGTACATTTTCTTCTATTTTTCTCTTTTTTTCCTTACGTAATGAAATTAAAACTTTTGGAGCCCACAGTTGACATTTTTCAGAAAATTGAGTTATCAAGGCAGTAATTATTTCACGGGGAGATAAAACTCTCATAGCCCTAACTGTCAAATAGGGCCCTTTTCAGATTTTAATTACAAAATAAAATTAGTCTGCTCTTCCTCGGAATGGTTTGTGAGTGGTTAAACAGAGCTTTCCCCCCAATACTGGTGGTCGTCAAACTCTGCTAATTAGCAATGCTGAGAAATTCCAGTTAACAAGGACATTCTCCAAGACTCTGCAGGTTCCCTGCCGTTTGCCTTCATTTCCATAAGAAGATTAAGAGAGGAGGGGAACACACTCAAATGCAGATGCAGAAAAGAAGCGTTTTTTAACAAGCATCATAATAGTAAGATGCTTGGCTAGTTCTCACCTAATTACTGCAAGTTAAACCTCTATTTGCCATTAAGAAGAAAAAATAAGTCTACAGTCCCCTAGCTCCACAAAATTGTTAGTTGGCTTCAGATATAATACTTGGGGAGGGATGAGGGGAGTTTAGGAGAGAAATGTGTGAAAGATAAAACTGAGCTACACTTAATCAGGTAAGGATTTGGGGTTTGGGCCTATATAGTAGAGCAAAATTAAATCAGAATATCCTAGGAGTTACGCATTTTTGTTCCTAATTTCTAATCTTGCTTTAAAAGTATGCAGCTTTTTGCTGCCCATGAAAGGGAAATGCTATACTTCTTTTAGATTAAGCACTTTAAATTTTCATACATTGTGCCAATGGCAACATTTTTAAATTCTTGAAGGATGAAGCACCCTCTTCCAGTCTTATTTTGATTCCCTAGTAGTCAATGGTGCATTGTTACTAGTACTGTAGCCATCTGTTATAAACCTAAAACAGTGCTGCTTCTATCATCTATTGTGATTATTATAGTTATTATTATATTTAGGGGCCAGTGATAGTGCTGGATTGAAATAGAGTGGCCGGTGATACAATTTTTTTAATGCATATGTTCTAAAAAATCTAATGAGAAAATTGTTTCTGCTATCGCCATCTTCTTTAATCTTATTTTCATAGCACATTATTATGCATAAATGCCAGCCACAGTTAGTTTATTGCCTTGATAAGTACAGCAGGCTTAATTAAAATAAAGCTGTAAATAAATGCAACCAATGATAACACAATTGTAATGTATTTCCATAGCTTATTTATATGATAAAAGCAATTAACAAAAGACCTAGCCAGCCCCTTTAACCTCTTAAATGCATTATTATAGAGTTCAGGCACAAACACAGGCGTCTGAGAATGTATAAAAGCTTTTATATATTATCCCAAGGAAAAATTTGTGCCTCTTCCTACTACCCCTTGAGAGAGTGGGAGATTAAAAATTTTGCTACTGTAACCATTCGTTATTAATATTTATTTTAATACATGTACTCCATCATTATCCACATCAATCCCTTGGGTTTTTTTTTTTTCTTCAGACTTAATTATCCATAAGCTTTTTTAAAGTTTTCAGAATAATGCTACTAAGAGCAGACCAACGCATACACAATCATGAAGTGAATGCTTGGTCTGCCCTTCGTGGCATCTGGACAATCATAATTCATTCATATGTTGAATCTCATAATTTGTACCTATTTTTTCCCTATGGTTTAGCCTCCTCATCTGGAGGTTATATGTACATTTCTAAGTTAAGCAAATTAAATCTGATTCTTATGATTTGGTTCCATAGCTTATATGATATGTTAACTTTTCTTTTGTTTAGATTACGCGTAATTAGTTGGATCTTCCTCCCATTCCCCTTATTTTTTTTTCCCTTTAATTATTTCCAAACACCTTCTTTTAAAGGTAAAAGCAAAACTGTTTTATGGAAAAGCGAATCCACCAGTAGGGGGCGCACCAGCTACATCCCTGACACCAGACGCGCTGAAAAGCCTGTGGCTGCGGTGTTGTCTTCTGAGCCTCTAACCTTTTCTTTCCTAATCTCCGTATCCCTGTTTAGCTTACTATTACACCTCGAATAAACAGAAGACGTTATTTTGTTTTGAAGAGTGCCATGTATTTATCCGTTTCGAGAAGGCCAGTCTCACCCTCCCCGGGTTCCCAAAAACTAAAACAAACCAAAACTTAGAGAAAAAGAAGAAACTGATGGGGGAGGGGCGGCTGATTGGAAATAATAATTTATAAAGAAAAGCCTGCAGGATTCTTTTTCTCAACTTTCCTGGTTTTCCAGTGAGCATACTTATTTTGAGTTGGACAGGAACAGAAAAGCCTGGGAGGGCAGGATTGGAGAGGTTGGAGTGGGGGTGGTGATGGTTATGGGAGGAAGATGGTTAGTAAGAAACAAAAAAAGTAAAGTTTTGTAAAGATAATAAATGGAACGTGGCCGACAGATACTATTCAGTACATTTTCTTAGGGTGAGTAAGGGTAGATAGATCAGGGGAGGAGGGGGCGGAGAGAGTGTTACAGAAGAAAGAAAATAAGTAACCCTGATGTTTTAAGCCCTTTATAAAAAAGAAATGGCATCAGGTTTTCCCCCCCCAACCCCCCACCCTTTGTAGTCAAGTGCATTTTAGCCACAAAGATCCCAACAAGAGAGTGGAAGGAAACTTAGACGGGGCTTTGTTTGACTCCGTGTAGCGACAACAAGAGAAACAAAACTACCTATTTGTAAGGGACGTGCTGCCATTGCTCTCCGCATTGAGCGCCTACCTATTGAAATCTTTACGTCAGGACAATGGGAGAGCGGCTAAAATTACCCTCTTGGGTCCTGGGCGGGCAGGATTCCTGAGCCCCTACCCCCGCCTCCATTCCATCCTCCTCCAGCCTCGGCCTTGCTAGGCTCCCCCCATGACCAGTCTTGGCCGTGTTCTTCCAGCCTGCACTGCCTGCACCTGTGCCTGGGGCGCACCACACCCGGCTCCCAGGCCTGGCGCCCCCTCGGAGCGCTGCCCCAGACCCCGGCGGCGCGGGCCACACAGCACAAGTCGCAGGGGAATGGCAGGGCTGGTTCTGCTCGAGTCCTGGGAACTCTGCGTGGGAGGGAGTTTGTGAGTGCGGCCCAAATGCCACCTCCATACTGTGCCGTGGGATGCCAGGAAGTTGTCGTTACGCTGCTCCAGAGCCTGAGCTTCTGAGCGTCCTTCTGGTGATCTTTTTCTTCCCCCAGCCTCCTCTTGAAACCGGCCCAACTGAAATCCTGCTTTGGGGGAGGCTCAGGGGGAGAATGGGGGGACAGGACGAGAATGGGGGCCTCCTCTCTCCATCGACTGAATGGAGAAAGATGGTGGGCGATGTGGCTGGAAGTAAGGGGACAAGCTGGAGTGTCCCGGCTGGAGCCGAGCTGCGCGGGGAAGTGCCTGCTTGCCGCAGCTTCCCCAGGCCTGGCCTCCCCTTAAGTGTGGAGTCGGCCACATAGTCCAAGCAGGATTTTTGCTTAACACAGAGCAAACTGTGGCAGCAAGGAGGGTTGAGGACAGAGCTTTCCGTCTCCTAACTTCTTGTCGGGACAGTGTGAGAAAGGGGTGAGCCAGTGCCGGCACCTGTGGAGGAAGAGGGGCGAGGGAAAGAGCGAGGTTAGGGAGAAGCCCCGGAGAGGCTGGAGTTGGGGAGAAGTGTGAGGAGGAGCGGGAGAACAATGACACACCAACTCCTGCGCCGCCTGTTTCCTGAAATACTAGCAGGACAGTCGCCCTAAACCACCCACTATGCCCTGCCCCACCCCACCACCTTAGCGGCTCCTCGCGCCCCTTCCTCAACGGAGCGGCCCGCACCAAAAAGTAAATCAATATTAAGTTTCAAGAAGAAAAAAATCGTAGTCTTAGTGCTGTTTACCCACTTCCTTCGAAAAGGCGTGTGGTGTGACCTGTTGCTGCGAGAGGGGATACAAAGGTTTCTCAGTGGCTGGCTGGCAGGCAGGCTGTGGGAGCCGCCTCCCCCTCCCTCCTTCCCCCTCCTCCCCCTACCTCCCCCGCGCGGCCTGCGGCGCGGCAGGCCCCGCCCCCTTTCATGCAAAACCCGGCGGCGAGGCTGGGCTCGAGTGGAGGAGCCGCCGCGCGCTGATTGGTCGCTGGAAACCCATTTATTCCCTGACAGCCCCCATCACATGGATGGTTGTCTATTAACTTGTTCAAAAAAGTATCAGGAGTTGTCAAGGCAGAGAAGAGAGTGTTTGCAAAAGGGGGAAAGTAGTTTGCTGCCTCTTTAAGACTAGGACTGAGAGAAAGAAGAGGAGAGAGAAAGAAAGGGAGAGAAGTTTGAGCCCCAGGCTTAAGCCTTTCCAAAAAATAATAATAACAATCATCGGCGGCGGCAGGATCGGCCAGAAGAGGAGGGAAGCGCTTTTTTTGATCCTGATTCCAGTTTGCTTCTCTCTCTCCTTTCTTCCCCCAAATTATTCTTCGCCTGATTTTTCTCGTGGAGCCCTGCGCTCCCGACACCCCCGCCCGCCTCCCCTCCTCCTCTCCCCCCGCCCGCGGGCCCCCCAAAGTCCCGGCCGGGCCGAGGGTCGGCGGCCGCCGGCGGGCCGGGCCCGCGCACAGCGCCCGCATGTACAACATGATGGAGACGGAGCTGAAGCCGCCGGGCCCGCAGCAAACTTCGGGGGGCGGCGGCGGCGGCGGCGGCGGCAACTCCACCGCGGCGGCGGCGGGCGGCAACCAGAAGAACAGCCCGGACCGCGTCAAGCGGCCCATGAACGCCTTCATGGTGTGGTCCCGCGGGCAGCGGCGCAAGATGGCCCAGGAGAACCCCAAGATGCACAACTCGGAGATCAGCAAGCGCCTGGGCGCCGAGTGGAAACTTTTGTCGGAGACGGAGAAGCGGCCGTTCATCGACGAGGCCAAGCGGCTGCGAGCGCTGCACATGAAGGAGCACCCGGATTATAAATACCGGCCCCGGCGGAAAACCAAGACGCTCATGAAGAAGGATAAGTACACGCTGCCCGGCGGGCTGCTGGCCCCGGGCGGCAACAGCATGGCGAGCGGGGTCGGGGTGGGCGCCGGCCTCGGCGCGGGCGTGAACCAGCGCATGGACAGCTACGCGCACATGAACGGCTGGAGCAACGGCAGCTACAGCATGATGCAGGACCAACTGGGCTACCCGCAGCACCCGGGCCTCAACGCACACGGCGCCGCGCAGATGCAGCCCATGCACCGCTACGACGTAAGCGCACTGCAGTACAACTCCATGACCAGCTCGCAGACCTACATGAACGGCTCGCCCACCTACAGCATGTCCTACTCGCAGCAGGGCACCCCAGGCATGGCGCTTGGCTCCATGGGCTCGGTGGTCAAGTCCGAGGCCAGCTCCAGCCCCCCTGTGGTTACCTCTTCCTCCCACTCCAGGGCGCCCTGCCAGGCCGGGGACCTCCGGGACATGATCAGCATGTACCTCCCCGGCGCCGAGGTGCCGGAGCCCGCCGCCCCCAGCAGACTTCACATGTCCCAGCACTACCAGAGCGGCCCGGTGCCCGGCACGGCCATTAACGGCACACTGCCCCTCTCGCACATGTGAGGGCCGGACAGTGAACTAGAAGGGGGGGAGAAATTTTCAAAGAAAAACGAGAGAAATTGGGAGGAGAGTAAGGAACAGCATGGAGAAAAACCCGGTACGCTCAAAAAAAAAAAAAAAAAAAAAATCATCACCCGCAGCAAATGACAGCTGCAAAAGAGAACACCAATCCCATCCACACTCACGCAAAAACCGCAATGCCGACGAGAAAACTTTTATGAGAGATCCTGGACTTCTTTTTGGGGGACTATTTTTGTACAGAGAAAACCAGGGGGGGTGGGGCGGGCGAGGGAATGGACCTTGTATAGATCTGGAGGAAAGAAAACTACGCAAAACTTTTTAAAAGTTCTAGTGATACGGTAGGAGCTTTGCAGAAAGTTTGCAAAAGTCTTTACCAATAATATTTAGAGCTAGTCTCCAAGCGACGAAAAAAATGTTTTAATATTTGCAAGCAACTTTTGTACAGTATTTATGGAGATAAACATGGCAATCAAAATGTCCATTGTTTATAAGCTGAGAATTTGCCAATATTTTTCAAGGAGAGGCTTCTTGCTGAATTTTGATTCTGCAGCTGAAATTTAGGACAGTTGCAAACGTGGAAAGAAGAAAAATATTCAGATTTGGACATTTTAATTGTTTAAAAATTGTACAAAAGGAAAAATTAGAATAAGTACTGGCAAACCATTTCCGTGGTCTTCTTTAAAGGGGAAAAAGTTTTAGATTGTACTAAATTTTTTTTCAACTTACTGTTAAAAGCAAAAATGGCCATACAGGTTGACATCGTTGGTAATTTATAATAGCTTTTGTTTCCCAACTTTCCATTTTGTTCAGATAAAAAAAAAAAACATGAAATTACTGTGTTTGAAATATTTTCTTATGGTTTGTAATATTTCTGTAAATTTATTGTGATATTTTAAGGTTCCCCCCCTCCTTTATTTTCCGTAGTTGTATTTTAAAGATTCGGCTCTGTATTATTTGAATCAGTCTGCCGAGAATCCATGTATATATTTGAACTAATACCATCCTTATAACAGGTACATTTTCAACTTAAGTTTTTACTCCATTATGCACAGTTTGAGATAAATAAATTTTTGAAATATGGACACTGAAATTATGCTTGAGTCTTTCATTTATTTGGATAACACTGATTATACATGACTGCTCCGGGTATATACTGTGCTCAGCCAGGAAAGCAAGATACCTAAAACCTTGATGCTCTAGTCCAGTATCGTGTGTTAATGTTAATTGCAACAAATAAATGTCTGAATGATTAATTGAATAAGTACTCTCAAAAAATTGAAATGCTTGTGTCATTTCTAAAATAGAAATTAGAGACATATATTGTAAATCCACCCCCTCCTTCTCTAAGCAGCATGAATAAGCATGATGGGGACTTATACTTTAAAACTGATTTATGCCACTTGTTGCCAGAAAGGAGTCAATTCTGAAAATTTTCATGTAGCTCAGCAGATGGGGTATTGAGCCAAATCAGAACCAGGTTGGCTGGTTTTGTTTTCGTTTTCCTCAATGCACAATGGCCCTTTGGAAACCTGGTTATAGGGGAAAATGATGCTTGTATCAGAATAATTGCAAACTAGACTTGCAAAGTGCTCATCTGCTGGGTGGGTGTTTGGGTTACTTCAGCCCTGCTATTGTTTGAGAGGAAACAAGTGGTTTGCTTTTCTTTGTTCCTTGACTTCATAAACTTTCTCCTCTACATTTTCCTGTTTACGGGCAAGGGAAAGCAAAAAGCATCTTAAAAAATCCCCAGACTTATGGCTATTTTTTTATTATTATTATTTATTTTCTTTTTTCCTCTCTCTCCCTCCACGAATTCCATTTCTTAAATTGGCAGCGCGGGTCCAAGCCTGTAGTCCCAAATCGGATATCTCTGCAGCTGATAACAAGCAAAAGAGAAGCCAGGCAACAGCCATATTAAAGAAGAAAACAATCAACTCTGAGGTAGATATTTTACTTTGTCCGGTCTAATCACATTTGGAGATGATTATGCTTTTGATCTGTTAACCGTGTTTTACTACGGTAGTAGAGGAGTAGGGGGAGGGGAAAGGGGTGGGGAAACAAGATTGGATTTGTTGTTTTCTTTTGCCCTAGGAAAGGTAAAGAAAGACTATAGTTGTCCTCAGTGGGAGCGGAAAAGTTGGGGAATCACCAATGGTCTTTGAATTAGCGATGTTTCTACATCACAACCGACCCGCGCTTTGGCGCAGCCGGAGAATCTGTAAGACCGATTCAGGGACTTTTCTTCCTTATTTACTGCTTACCTCGCGCAACTTCCCCCACCAAAGAGGACCAGGAACCACGAGTCAGGCATTCTTAAGAGCGTGGGTTGCTACCCACAATTTCAAGGGCTTGTTTGTGCCAACTTGGTACAACTTTGGAGAAGTTGGAATCCGGCAGCGCCTTCCACCCTTGAGTAAAATACTGGCTGCAGCCACTAAGTTAGCTCAACCCGTTGGTTTGCACTTTCTCGTTTTCCAGGAAAAGTATTTCTCGTGGTGTTGCTGATGTTAGTTCTGGGATCAGCTGGAGATACTCTCATATTTTCTGTATTTTTATTTCATGTGGATTGCTTTATTTTTGGTGCGTGTTGGTTGTCACTTATTTCTTTTAAAAAAATCATTTTAGGGTAAAGGACAATTATTATGCCAGATCCCAATTCTAAGCGAGGCATTTCCCCCCCTAATTAATGCAGAGACTCTAAAAGAATTTCCCCCGGCCTGGCCAGCCATTGTAATGCATATACGGATTATTCACGTGGTAATGAGCACATTCGCCAGTTCTTGCTCACACATACGAATAAAAGAAACTTTGAATAAAGATCCAAATGATCTTGCTGGGGGGTGGGGAGGATATTCCCGGAATTTGAGCCAATCAACTATATGGAGTGTATATATTTGAAAAAAATAGAGATATATTAGAAATATGTATAGGGTTTAGCGTAACTGCAGTGCATTGGGCTCCCTTAGGGGGGAAAAAAAAAAGCCCACAGGATCAGACTAAAAAAAGCAACAACTTTTTGGCAAAATGCTCAAGTTCAAATATTTTGCAAGAGGGAAGAGAGCAATTTTAGGAAGTTGAACTAATTTTGAGTGATTGTCACTGTCTGCCTAAAACAAGAGAACTCCCATTTTCCCTCCTATCCCTCCATATCCCCTCCCTAAATGAAAGCCAAATTATTTTGCTCACAAATATAAATTCTTTTGATAAACTGCATTTGAGGAAAATGTCATATAGTTCATCGTTTATTTGATTGGGCTAAATGATTCCCCAAGATGTGTAGTTTCATGACTAGATTAATATTGAACATACAGTATTTTATTTATAATATGATTTTCAAGAAGGGGGTAAATCCATAAACTTGCCCAGAGATGGTTATCTCTCAGTGCTGAAGTTAGTTGTTGAGTGTTCAGTTCCTTCCTTGGGATATAATTCTGCTCACTAAAACCATTCAATTTCCAGTCAAAGGGGTGAATTTAATGTTTTGTTAACCTTATACATAGAATGGAAATGTGTAGAAGGATGAGATTATAGTTTGTTCCCTCTGCAATTTTTTTCTTTCCCCGCACCCCCGCCCCCTACTTTAAATAAAGAGCGTTAAAATATTTTGCTGAGCTGTAGTAGATTAGCAAGGTTTCTTGCCAATGCTGGGAAGCTGGTATTACAGACGGTCCCAGGGGAAAATGGCTCACATTAACCACTAAATGAATATTTGACAAGGGCTCATTCGGAGGTATTATTACTATAAACGTGTCCCTACTGGACTTTTCCAGGGTCAAAGAGCAACGCTTCAATTAATTATTTAGTCTGCTAGTAGATTTGGTTGTAATAGCTGTACTTATTTCTAGAACCGACACATTCTTACAGTAGGAAATCTCAGGAGAATCTTCTCCATCAGCCATGCCTTGGATTGAAATACACACAGAGCCCTGGCATTCTAAAGCTGACTTTTCATAAAACCTTTTCCTGGACTGAGAGTTGGGGGGATTATAGTTTCTTTTTCTATTTCATTTTCTGTCTTTGTTTTAAAAGAAGAAAAAAAAAAAACATAATAAGTTACCTTAGATTCTACATCAGTCTGGAAAGGTCTTTTAGGGTTTTGCAGTTTGGGGAGAGGGGGGAGGGGATTTATTTATAACCTTTGCCTTTTCTAAGTGGAGATGTCACAGGAGTTCAGAGACTCAGGCAGATTCTGAATTTAGAAAGGGCACACATTGCTGTTTGCCAATAAAATTCAGGTTTTAAAATGGAGGGCTCCATAGGCTAAGTACTCATAGTTCTAGCAGTCTTAGAGTAAATTGGGGTACAAAGTAGTTCCTCCTTCCCTCCCCACCTATTGGTTTGAACATTTCCAGGTGTAGTGGGGGGGGGAGGTGTGGCGGGCAAGTGTTCCCTTTCTGCTCTGTCATAAGTTCCTCCGTGGCCCTGGGTAAAATGGTAAGGGAATGATTTTGAGAGTAAGATTCCTTGACAATAATATAAGGTGAATGAATAAGAGATAAGCGGCAAGGGGTGGAGGGACGGGATGCAGTAATTACAAACCCAATTCATTCAGCTTTTCAGAACTTTTGTTGTGGGAGCTCCATTGACGGGTTTTGAGCCGCTGGTTTTCTCACATTAAAAAGAACTGATCAGCGCCTCAGGGGGACAAGAAATACCGCTTAACTGCATAGTGATTGGGTCTTCATTTAGAACCCTTACAAGAAGAAATTTAAACAGTGCCTTTGTGTGCACAGGTTTACTTTTCAACTGCTAACAGTTTATAGCTAACTGCTTTGAGATTGAAGTTTGACTGTGGTTTGATCGCCTGCTTGTTGGCACTGCTTATTTATTTATTTATTTATTGTAATGAAAAGAGCTTTTTATATCCTCCCGCCTTTATTTCTTGATCTTGGAGAATTTTGCAAAAACAGTTCCTCATATTTTGCTTTATGGAAGTAGTTTCCTTCACCACAAGCTTTAGGAAGGACTTGAATTAACACTTCTCCAACACTTTCCACCCTCCCCCCCCCTTATTGCCTTAAAATAATTTGCATCTCATTCTGTTTTTTTATGCTGCCTTTTCTTGCTTTCAGAGCAAAAACTGCTTTGGACAGCTACTAGTGAGGTTGAGGATGAGAGTTGATTTATTTCTTTTCTTTGTTTTTTTTGTTTTTTTTTTGTTTTTTTAACTGGAGTTTGGAAGATGTTTGGGTGGATTTCTTTAGGGACCTCGTCTATGAGGTGGCTCCCTTAAAGACAGGAGAAGGGGAAGAAACACTTGAACTTTACTGTGAAAATGTGGATAAAATCCAAAGGGGCACAGTCTCTGGAATTCTAGAGGAAGCAGGCTGTGGAAGGAGCTTTTCAAAGACAGAAATTGTCTAAACCAGATAATTCATTTGGTGTCTCTCATAGTTATTTTCTATTAAAAACTTCCCTGGAAACCGGCTTCTGGTATCACCCGGGAAGACTTGTAACTGCTGTTCCTTCTCAAAATGCTGTCCAGTTTTACAATTCTTGTTTTCAGTTTTGCTTCTGTAGCCTTAAGGAAAGAATGGACTTGACTTTCTTATCCCAACTGCGAGACTTCTCTGGGAGCAGTTACTGTAACTGCTAAGACAAGGCCAAGATTTCCTGTGGCAGAGAGCTCTCTTTCTGTATGCAGGTCTAGATGGAGTTTAGTTTATATTTTGGTGTAATGGTTATATTTCACTCAGTTTCTCTTCAAAAGCAAATAGAACGTCCTCTCGTTTCAGGACGCAGAGATATTTGCTGCTTCTGGGCTTTCGGACTTGAGAGGCTTGCTCTACTTTGCAAAGAAGTGTCAGGTGGTTTAAAAGCTTCAAGGAGTCCTTCGTTACATTACCCTCCTCTGCCTGCGTGCACAGAATGAAGTGTGCACTGTTAGTAAAGATTTCGGCGCTTTGAACTATCATTTGCTTTCCTCTCTGGGCTTCCGTGCGGGGCGCGACGACGCAGGGCCCTGAGCGCGCGGTGCTCCCACCCGCCCGCCCGCCCTGGGGAGCCTGCTGCAGCCGGCGCGGGAGCGGGGGCGCGGGCAGATGGAAGCTGAGGCGGGTGAGCGCCGGCCAGGGACCTGACGTCACTGTG